AAGGAACCATATTTTTTTTTTTTTTTAGAAATTTTTTTCTCTTTTTTTTTGTTTCCTCTTTCCTTTGAATAAAAAAAAATTTCTCTCTCTCTCTCTCTCTCTCTCTCCCCGTTGCGAGACAAAAGGTTTTGCATTCATCATTTTTTTTTCTTTCTCTTCTTTTCCTTTTTTATTTTTTTTTTGGAAAATTAATTTTTTTTTTTCTTATTTTAAATTTTCTACTGCCAATTTTTTTTTTCTTTTTTTTCCTTCCTTTTATTTTTTATTTTTTTCTCTTGTAAATATTTCAAATAAAAACAAAAAGCAGTAACTAATTAGTTTTTCTTTTTTTTTTTCGTTTCTTTTGTGCAAATTCATTTTTTTTTTTAAAACAAAATTTATTATTATATTAACTATAAATCTGATTGAATTTTTTTTTCTATTCTTCTGCCACGAAAACTTTTTCCTAATTAAATTTTAAAATATCGAAAAAATTATTAAATAAATAAATAAATTAAAAACGAGCGCATTTTACAAATAAAATTAATTATTAATAAGTAAAAAAAAAAAAATTATTAATAATGATAATAACAACCATCCGTTTCAAACAAACAAACAAACAAACGAAAACTGTTTAAAACTTTTAACAAGTAAAATTAAGAATGAAATTTTTTTCATAAAGAAAAAAAAAAAAAAGAAAATTTTTTTGCAATGTCACGACGACAACAGCTGATAAATTTCATATAAATAATTTCAAATAAAAATTTCATTTAAAATAATAATAATAATAATAATAATAATAATAATAATAATAGTAAAAATATCGATTAATATAAAATTCTATTGACACGATATAAAATTTTTTTTTCTAAATGAAATTTAAAAAAATTTTTTGAACATTTATTTATTACTGCAAAAATTTAAAAAAAAAAAAGCGATCATACGTAAGAATTTTCTCAAGTTAAAAAAAAACATAATAATAATGATGATGATAAATGTTCAAAACAAAAAAAATGACGTCATTCCAGTACTGAAAAAACAAGGGGAAGGGGGAGAAGAAATACATCGAATTGAATTTATTTTTTTTGTTTTTATAAAATAAGAAAAAAACTTTTTACTAAAATTGTAATTAAATAAATAAATTACGGATTTTATACATGTATACAAATATTTTTTAAATAAAAAGGAAAGAAAAAAAAGGAAAAAAGGAAAAAAAATAAAAATCTGATTTGATTTTTCCTTTTTAGAAAAAAAAAAAAACAATAAAAAAATTTTTTTTTTTTTCCTGTAAAATATAATCGGATATGGTTGAAATTTTAAATTTTTGTAATTTTATACAAACTGCATTTCATACAGTATTATATTAAATAAAGAAAAAGAGAGAGACAAAAAAATAATTTGAGGATTTGAGAGGTAGGAAAAAGAGTGAGAGAAAGACGGACTGGAAAAGCAAAGGTTACGGATGAAAAAAAAAAGGAAAAACAAAGCGAAGAGGCGGAAAACAGAGAAAGAGGGAAAGAAAGGAAGACTTTGAGGAATAGGAATAGTGGAAGAAGAGAGAGAGAAAAGACATTGAGAAAAAGGGAGAAAAAGAGACAGAAAGAAAGTGAAAGAAAAAGAGAGAAAGAACAAAGGAAAAAGGTTAAAGTAAAAGAAAGAGAAAAGCAAAGTTAAGAGGTCCAGGGGAAATAGAGAAAGAGAGAGTGAGAGAGAAAGGGGGGATGTAAAAATTAAAAATAAATTTAATTTTAATATGATTAAAACGCGGCGTAAATTTAACAAAAGTGATAAAAATTTACTTTTTTAAATCGTGATTGTATCAGTTTGGCGATCCGCAATCGACGTACAAACAAACAAACAAACAAAACAAAAAGAAAAAAGAAAA